CTCCAGTGACTGCCACAGTCCCGCCGCTGGTCTCTAGCCTCCCCTCCAGCCCTGCCCCAGCCTGTCACCACACAGCAGCACAAGGCTGTTTCTAAACCTGTTGGATTACCCCCACCTGCTCAGAACCCCCAAGGGCTCCCCAATGCACTTCTTACTCAGAGCACAAGCCCAGGTGATTGGGTGACCAGGACCCAGCTCCCTACCCCCGCCTCATACCCCACCCCACCCATGCCCCACATCCCTCCCCACATCCCACATCCCTCACCCACGCCAGTGCCTGCTCAGCTGTAGCCAGGCTGGCTTCTGCTGCACCTTCTGCCCCAGGGCCCCTGCACCTGCTGTTCCCACTGTCTGAACCTTCTGCCCCTGTGTCTCCAAGGCTTGCTCTGTCACTTTCTTTGAGTCTCCGCCCCAATATCCCTGGCTCAGGAAGCCTTCCATGACCCTTCCTTATGCAAGAGCCACACGGCCATTGGCAACAGGCACCCGGACCCCATCCCGACACTGGTCCACCCTTGGCTTCTATTAGCACAGTCTCCCACTTGGTCCACTGTCTCATCACTGGCCCAGCGGGGTGCCTGGCACAGAGCAGGTGCCCTGAGGACTCTCACAATTGGAGCCTAGGCTCCATCTGTCTCCACCCTGTTTCCTGTGCCCCGTCCCCCGCACCTGCCCGAGTTCTGGTGCCTCTTCCCCATCCTCAGAATGCCCAGGGAGCTCCTCAGCAGAAAGGGAAGTAGCAGGTGGGGGGCCTCAGGTGCCTTCCTGGTGCTGCTGTTCAGGTCAGCCCTTGGCCAGGACTGTCGGGCTGAGAAGACCCCACCAGGACCCGGAGCCTTTCACCATCCCAGCACAGGCTCTCTAAGCTGTGCTGCGGGGACAGCTCCCCAGAGTCAGAGTGCGCCCCTGCGCCCCTGCACCCCCGCGGCAGGAGGACAGCCAGAAGCTTCCCTGCCCACTCTCTGGCTTGCATCTCGCCTGTCAACACAGAAGAGAGGTGCAGAACAGCCTTTGGTGAGACGGCCGGTGGCGCCGCTGTCTCGGGAGGAAGCCGCTTTCATTGTCTGAAGAGCAGTTCACCGGGGGCAAGAGAAACCATCTGATTCGTTTCCTGTGTTCCCTCTTGTCTCCTTCTTCTGGGGTTCTAGTGGCTCTTGCCTTCGATGATGGAGGGGATCCCTTTTGTCCTTGCTTCACTGGGTAATGCTCTCCTGTGGTCCTCCTCTACGAGAACTCTCATCTTTCTCTTCCTATGTCTATTTGGGTTGGGAGAAGACGTGGTGAGTTTGTTCTCTGGCCTTGTGGTTGCTTTTTTACGTTGCATCAGATGATTAATTATGTGTTGTCCTTCATGTAGTATCCATCGTTGTTCGTCTTTCTATGTGATTACATTGTCTGATGTAGGCTTGCTTCCTACTGGATTGGGTAATGGGCTGAGTATGTGTTATATATTTGATGGTTGTATGTTGTTTGTGTGTATCTCTCTCAGGTTCGGGGTGACCAGGAAGCCCTGCCTGCCCTGGGGCCTGCACCCTCACCTGCACCCAAGGGGACCTGTCCTGTGAAGCTGCCCCAACGCCCTGGTCTCAAGAGGGCTTGCGGTCAAAGGCAGCAGCACGGGGAAGGGTGGCAGAGGTTGAAGAGCGGTGGTGTGATTGCTCCTGGCGGTGGGGGGGGTGTGCGGGGCGGTGAGGGTGTGGTGTGTGGGTGACCGACGGGGGCGGGTGTTTGTGCCGGGCGGTGGGTGCGTGTGTGCGGGTGTGACGGCGGGGGGCTTGTGGGGGCGGCTGGGGGTTGGTTTGTCAGGGCCGGCGGGGGCTGTTTGGGGGCGGGCGGCGGGAGGGGTATCTGCCGGGGCAGCGGGGCGTGTGGGGGAGTGGCAGGGATGTGGTGTGCAGGGCCGGGTGGGGAGTGTGTGGCCAGCGTGGCAGGGGAGGGTGTGTGTGTGGTGCGGGCAGTGCGGGGCCCTGTGTGGGGGGCAGCTGGTGGGAGGGTTGCGGGGCGGCGGGGGGGCCTGTAAAGGGGGGCCAGCGGGTGCGAGAGGTGTGCGGGGCAGGCGGGACCTGTGTGGGGCGGCGGTGGGGAGGGGTGTGCGCGGCGGAGGGGCAGCCCAGGGCCCATGGCCTCCGGACCAGAAAAAAAAAGGGGCCCCCAAGCAGAAACTGACGTTGGGTGGGTTCTTTCTCTTTTTTTGTTTTTGCCTTTTTTCCCTAAAAATCGAGGTGAGATTCAAGTAAACCTGACAGCAACCAGTGAGGTCGAGTGAACAACTCCGTGGCAATTTAAGCGCATTCCGGGGCTATGCATACCCGGCGACCAGCTCCCAAGCCGCCTTCATCCCCGCCCGCTGTCTCCCCTGCTTCCCAGTGCTCAGGAGTCTCCCGGCAGTGCCTCCTCCATGCCCTGCGCTAGGCCCCCTCTTTGTTTTCTGAGTGCTCGTTCCTTCCTTCCATCATAATCCGTGGTTGCATATCAGGGTGTCGGTTTCACTCCCATCCGTCCTAGAGAGAGGCTCCAGGAAAGCCCTGGCTGCTCCCACAGCCCCCTTGTTAGGGCCCTGCTCTGTGCCAGCCTGAGGGTGGAGCCGCTGAACCAGCCCTTGCAATTGGGGGCTAAGCTGGGCCCACCAGCCTCACCCTGGGCCCTGGGTGCAGCCCCCAAACTTACAGTAGAGCCAGGCCCAGTGTTTCACCAATTGGGGTTTTTGCCTCCAGCTTGGAGGCAAATTGGGGTTGGTACCTCCAGCTTGGGGTTCAAATTGAGCCCATTGCCGCTTTTTTTTACTAAAATAGACCCGATCCTGTAGCCCCCAGGCTGCTCCGGGGGGCAGCCTCCTCCTCCTGTAGGAAGTCAGCCCAGGAGCCCAGGGTGGTGCCTGCTGAGTCGTGGAGAAGAGCGAGGGGCCAGGGTCCCCAGAGCCCAGGGGACGAGGGCTGTGCACAGCAGAATGGCCCAGAACACTGGACAGGGCCTCACCCACCTGTCCACCCAGAGACTGAGGCCACATTCCAGCCAAAGCCCCACTCAGAACATCAGGCCTTGGCAGGTCCCTGGGGAGTCCACCTTGAACACCACCCCTCGGGGTCCGGAGGCAGCTCTGGGGGAAACCACCTCCGCTTCGGGTCTGGAGCCAGCTCCTAGAAGGTGTGCAGTTTGCAACGCCAAGCCCAGATGGCCCCACCCCCACCACCGGCTGCACTGGGTGCGGTTCCACCCACCTGCAGGACAATGGGAGATGCAGGCAGGTGTTTGTGACTCTGCAAGGCCCTGCGTCTCCTGACGAGCTGGACCGGGCCCCTGGTCACTCCCCCACTGCCATTTCTTTCTTTAGGGCGGTTATTCTAGTGAATGGTTCAAAGCCTGGGCCGGACCGCCCTGGGCCCTCCACCCCTTGGGGGGTCCCCATCCTGTCTAGGATCCTGCTGGGCAACAGGGCACTTCTATGGGCCTCGGATGCCAAGGACACCTGGCATCCTGGTGGCTCTTTTGGGCATCACTGTTGTGGCCACCATGAAGCCCAGCGTGCTGATCCCGGCAGCTCGCGTCTCTGCCTGCTGGGCTGACCTTTGAGGCCTGTGTCCACACCAGGCACTGGGCTGCGTGGAGGGGACAGGGCTAGCTCCAGGAGGCCGGAAGGACCCAGCTTGCCCTGCAGTGAAACTGTTCCTCTGTGCTCAGAGATGTCCCTCCCAGCCTGAGCTGCTGACCTCACCCACTCCTCAGCTGGGTCCCCCCACTCACACTATTCCTTGCAGCACAGTGGGCTCTCCCTGAGCTGCTGACATAGGGTCTTTGCACCCATAGCTCCTTTGCCAGCACCCCTATCTCTCTGCAGGGGCAGGTGAGCTCCAGCTCATCCCTAAGGCCCAACTCAGGACTTCAGGGAAACTGTCTCTGAGCTTCAGTGGCTCTGCCAGCACCAGGCTCCCTCCTCAGGGCCCTTGATGCAGCTGAACTTACATCCCCCCACCCCCCGGACGAGGAGGCACCACTTGCTGGAGGAGCCAGGGACCCGGTGGACACAGCAGAGGCCTCTGCGGGTTCCCTGAAGGGCCAGATTTTGGGCCCAGTTGGCCCACAGGTTAAGTGGCCAGCAGGGCTGCAGGTGAGGCCCTCCGTCCTTCTGGGGTATGTGGGCGGGCCGGTATCCCTGACTCCCAGGAGGGGCAGGAAGGCACCTGGCCCCCTTGAGAACAAGGTCACCGGCCTCTGCTCCTCTGGGGCTCCTGTTCTAGTAGCAGGGGTGGCAGGCTGGTTAAAAAAGAGACCCAGGTCTGCCATGGAGGAGGCAGAAGGTAGCGAAGGAAGAGGCTGGGCCAGGGCTGCATCTCGTTGGAGCTGGTGGCTGAAGGGGAGCCTCCTGAGGTCTGGCTGCAGGGGAGAGGGCTCTATGAGACCCGCTGGGTTCTCTCCCTGGGGTCCAGTGAGGGTGGGAGTGGCGGTGGAGGGGCTGTGAAGGTGGAGCCAGGAGGAACGAGGAGGGCTGGGAGGGAAGGGGAGTGTTCAGACAGGTCGGGCAGGTGGGCCCGTGAAGGCCACCGTATGTCCTGGGATAGGGAAGATGAGGACGAATGGGCCGCTGTGGCCATCCAGGTAGGGACAGGCAGTTGCTACTGGGTTCTCAAGTGTCCAGGGAATCAGGGCCAGACTGGGCTTGGGTCAATGACGCAGGGGTGGTCTCTATGGCTGGACAAGGTCGCTGGGGGCTGGAGGTCACTTGGGGTAACCATTGCTCAAAATCCGCCCCTGGTTCCTGGTCCTGTCTTAACCTCTTGCATCTGGCCACAGCTGCCTTGCCCTTCTCCACCTTCTTCTAGTGGCTCTGGAGCCTCGCTGCTCTCCTGTGCTTTCGCACCCCCGGATGCTCTGCCCACCCTCCATCCCTCGAGATCCCCAGGGCAGAGCAGCTGCCTCTAGGAAAGGTGGAACCATTGGAATCACAGGGTCCCGGGGCCAGACCTGCTGAATCCAAATCTCAGGTGACCAGTGTGCACGCTGGAGTCCACGATGGAGTCTGGGGGGCAGCCCCTGAGCCCAGCCCATCCTCTGCTCCAAGCTGCAGGTGCTGGGACCTGCTGGTGCCTGTGGAGCCAGCTCAGGATCTGGCCCTGGGAGGAAAGGGAGGCTCTTGGTCATCCGAAGGTGCTGTGGCGCGAGGGTGAGTGAAGGAGAAGAGCATCCCAGGGTGGCGGAGGTGGTGGGAAGGTCCCCACCATGAGAAGAGGGACGTGGCATGTGGGGCCCCTCTGGGCCGGGGGTGCAGACAGTGCAGCACAGGTGCTAGCAGAGCCCTTTCCTCCAGGTGCCCACAGTCAGGCCAGACTCCGCCTGTTCACCCTGGCGCACCCCAGTGGGATGAATGCCGCCCCCATGCCCTGTGCATAGGGACCTCTGGGGCGGGGAGGACGCCCTGAGGTATCCATGCTGCACCCCTGGCCTCCTGCCAGCCAGCTTCATGGCCGTGTGTCTGCCAGGATTCAGGGAACTCGGAAGGGCTGGAGGGGAGGCCAGGTCCCAGGAATGCATCCCAGAGCAATCCAGAGCATCTGTGCAAAGGACCCAGTGCCTCTGTGCAGTGGAGGGATGGGGAAGTGGGGCGTCGCCAGGGACTCGGGCTTCAATTCCCGAGTAACAAGGAAGGGCCGGGAAGCCACCCTGCTGAGCGCCTGCCCAGACGCTGGGCTCGGGGCACTGCCCTGCTGCTGCTAGAGCAGTGCCCCGAGCCCCCAGCAAGTGCAGCCAAACATTGCCCATTTCTGTGACCTTCGTGCCGGATGCCCAGGAATGCGGTCTCAGGAGAGAGAGAGCACTGGTGTCCCACCCCACCCTGCAGCTCACTCCCCTCCACCCCTGCAGCCTACCCATGCAAGCCCAGGGCTTCTCCAGGTACAGGGAGCTCACCTGGCTCCGGGCAGGGTGTGCCAGCAGGTGTGCAGGTGCATGGCCATCTGGAGGTGGCTGCTCTGTGACAGAACGGCCCCTGCTTTAGTGTCCATGGGGGAGGGTGTTTCCTGGTGCTTCTTACATACAAGCTGAAGGACAGAACAGGCAGCTGATGATCACATAAACCACCTCACTTCCAAAAACCCTGGGCACGTTCGCTTTTATTCTAATTCGCCTTACCAGGACCAGGACAGGAATGTCCGTCAGTTTCAAGTCCTGCTAATCTGCTCAAGCACTACTCTAATTGAAGCATGCATTTGCTTCAGAGATTCCTAAATTCCCCTAGGAAAGCAGCATCTGGGTGGGCCTGCAGCTCTGCCCCACTGAGAAGGTCTCACTTTCCTCAGTTTCTCTGGCCTGGGCCTTGTGTCATCTGGTAGACCCCGCTCCACTGGCGGCTGAGCCAGGACCCAGTGTGGTGGATCTGGCCGATGGCACCAGCACACCTGCACCGCGGGGGTCAAAGGGGACCCCGGCAGCTCAGATGCGGAGTGCATGGTGGGGTGGGTGGGGAGCGCTCACTGGCTTACAGACCAACCCGGCAGGCAGGCCCCGTGTGCTCCTGAGGGCAGAGCCAGGGTCTCCAAACCACCGGCCTCCCTTGTTTTGCTTTTCCCCTCGTCTCTGTGGTCCTGTGGTTAAAGTGAAGGCCGGGTGTCCTCATCTCAGAGCTGGAAGTCGCTGAAGGCTGGTCTGGAGATAGAGACCTGCTCATCTGGCCCCACACTGCTCCCAGAAGGCCCCCTTCTCTGGGCAGCCTCTGCTTCCCTGGGACCATCTTCTCCGGTGGACAGCAGGAGCTGAGGGGCACAGCAGAGCTGACCAGCTAGGGGGGCCGCATCCCTGTCCCCAGGAGGAAGCACCATTGCAGATGCTGACCCGAAAGCAAGAGTGTTGTGACCCAGGCCCGGGAAGGCTGGGGTGAGACCCTGCTGTCCAGGCCCTGCACGGCCTTAGGCTGGGGCAGTTCGTTCAGGGAGAACAGAGAGCAGGGATGGAGCTTGGGGGAGCTGCCTGCACGGTTGGATGTGGCTCCTTCCCTGCCACTTCTCAGCCTTGCTCTGGCCTGCCACAGTGGTGCCCACAGAGTCTTGGCGGAAAGAACAGAACATCCCACGGCCCTGAGCCAGGTCCCTGGAAGGATGGTGACCTGGGGCATCTGCTGTGCCCTGGGCCAGCTGGCATGGGCATGGAGCGGGCTGCATCACTCTCTGAGGAGGAGGTCGGCTCCCACAGGGCCTGGGACATCTGTGGGCGCCTCGTCAGGCGAGTTTGGGTCTCTTTCGCAGAAGAAAACTGGGTGAGTATTTTGGTTCTTGTCAGCGGTTGCAGAGCCCGTGCCTCCCTCTGCTCCTGAATTAGGGCAGTGCCGTTTTGGGTTCCGTATGCCCTCCCTCGGTTTAAACTGGATGCTCTAATCGTCTTCCTCTTTTGTCCTAAATTTCCCTCTAATGTTTTATGCAGCTGTAAAGCAGCTGCTGCCTCCTGCTCCAGAGAAGGCTGAGGGTCAGGCGGCTGCAGTGACTCACCTCCTCCTGGGAGACACTGCAGAGCCCCTCGGCCAAGTCAGGCTCAGGGGACAGCCAGTGCCCTTTGCAGGACACATGTGAGAGCTGGGCTTGGGAAAGCCTTCGGTAGCAGCTAGAGGTTCCCAGGTAGGACAGACAGAAGGACGTCAAGGGGTCAGGTCCCAAACAGCAGGGCTGCCTTTCTGTGGGGTGTGTGTGTGTGTGTGTGTGTGTGTGTGTGTGTAGGGGGGTAGTTGGTTTTTTTTGTTTGTTTTTGAGATGGAGTCTCACTCTGTCGCCCAGGCTAGAATGTAGTGGCACGATCTTGGCTCACTGCAACTTTCAACTCCCAGATTCAAGCGATTCTCCTGCCTCGGCCTCCCAAGTAGCTGGGATTATAGGAGCCTGCCACCACGCCCAGCTAATTTTTGTATTTTTAACAGAGATGGGGTTTCACCATGTTGTCCAGGCTGGTCTTGAACTCCTGACCTCAGGTGATTCACCCACCTCAGCCTCCCAAAGTGCTGGGATTACAGGCGTGAGCCACCGTGGCTGGCCTGGGGGTGGGGTTAGTTGTAAGTCAACGAGAGGCAAGCACAGCTCCCGTGGGACATCCTGCCCGCCAGAGGACACATTCGTGGAGGCCTCGGCTGGCCCTTGGCACAGTCATTCAGAAAGTGGGTTCTGAAGGCCCGCTATGCACGAAGCCCCGGGGACCCGTGGGACAGCAGCCTGTTCTTTTGTTTGTTCGTGTTAGGCTCAGAGCTCCCAGAGAGGGTCTAGCATCCTTCTACAGGCCGACCCCTGGAAGACACCCCCCACCCAGGATACACCCCTGAGAACAAGCCCCAGGAAAGGGTTTGGGCCACAGATGGCCTTGCTGCCCTGGCCCAAGGTCATCAGATCTGCCTCAGGCAGGGCCTGCAGCCAGCCCCTGGCACCCTCCCTTGAGGAGAGGGTCTGCCCAGTCTTGGTGGCAGGAACGGGGCACCAGCCTCCAGTGCTGCTTCTGTGATCCATGGCCCAGACCCAGGCCCCGACCCAGGCCCCGACCCAGGCCCTGGGAAGACAGTGACCCGGGAATCTGGAGCTCCCTGGCCCACCGTGGCAGCCACGCCACAGGTGACGTCGGGAGCCCTCCCCCGAGTCCAGCCCCAGCCCTCGTTCCTCCTCCCTGAACTTCCCACCTGGGCACAGAATGCCAGCCTAGGGCTTCCCTTGGGAAGAGCCAGTCCAGTGCCTCACCCCGCTGCAGGCTGTAGGCCCAGCCTCCCTGGGTTCCTGCCCCCTTATCTCACAGGAAGAGCTGGGCCCAGAGAGGGGCAGATGGCCGCACAGCCCCACGAGGGGCCGTGGAGCTGCACCTCTTCCTGCCAATCAGCCCAGCGACTGGTGACCCCAAGTGTGGGGACCGCAAAGGGAGTGCTTGCCCGTCCGCGTTTGAAAACAGACTTTTTCCCGGCAGGAACACGGGACTCACCTGCCAATGGCTACCCAGGCAGAGGCTTCCCTGTTCCTCCAGGGGCCAGAGTCCCTCCGTTCTTTGGGGGAACATCTGAGGGAACACGGGAAGGAGCCGTGGATGTGGAGGGCGGCCGGGCCAGGACATAAAACACGACAGCAGAAAACCCTCGAGCACACAGATGCCACACACCCACACGCACATACGTGCGCACATACATGTACCAGGCACGCACCCCAGCCAGGTGAAGGAGGGTGGGGGTCAAACCAGGCTGCACCGAGCACCCGTGGTGGCTCAGCTCCGGTTGGCCCAGCTCCAGGCTGTGAGGAGAAGCGAGATGGCGGCATTCTTTAGGATGCTTTTATCCACTGTGGGAGCAGGAAGACAGCCAGGGTTATCACAGCACAATTTGAAAAACATACAAATAATTCATGTCAGCATGATGTCAGGGTGTTGTAAATAATGAATCCACACTTAAAACCCAGATTGATAGCTTCAAAGGGCAGCTCCCACCACTGGACAGGTAAGCAGGGCGCAGAGCCAGCCCCTCTTGGTTCTGAGAAGCAAGCTCAGAAGAGTTCAGGTCAGGGGAGCCCAGGGACCACCCTTGCTGGGAGGGAATGGGTGGAGCACGGCCCACGCAGTGAGCAGGGCCAAGGGTCTAGCAGCACCCGAGTGTTGCCCAAAGGGGAGGGAGAGGGTACTGGTCTGCGTGTGCCTGCTGGGAAGAACTGGAAATCCACGTGCTCCCGTTCTGCAAATCCCTTCACCAGGGTGTCGGCCACCAGAGTGGGGGAAAAAACTTCTCCTGCCGTGAGAGCTGGGGGCAGGCCCAAGGTGCTAGGGGCTCCCAGGAGGACTGGCCGTGGCCACCCAGGTCAGGATGGCAGTCCCGAGCCTTGGTGGCCAGTCCTCGGCTGCAGACCCCAGTGAGGACAGGGACCTCACCACCCACTGCCAGGCGTCTGAGGCAGCAGTGCCCCCGTTAAACCTGAGATGGCCGGGCGCGGTGGCTCACGCCTGCAATCCCAGCACTTTGGGAGGCTGAGACGGGCAGATCACGAGGTCAGGAGATCGAGACCATCCTGGCTAACACGGTGAAACCCCGTCTCTACTAAAAATGCAAAAAAATTAGCCGGGCGTGGTGGCGGGCACCTGTAGTCCCAGCTACTCGGGAGGCTGAGGCAGGAGAATGGCGGGAACCCGGGAGGCGGAGCTTGCAGTGAGCCGAGATCGTGCCACTGCACTCCAGCCTGGGCAACAGAGCAAGACCCCGTCTCAAAAAAAAAAAAAAAAACAACCTGAGATGAACTTCTGTGGGTCTCTCGGGAAGGAGCCCCGCCCCAGCCTCTGGGCCCCCAGGACGATGGCCATCACTGAGTGGTGATGTCATGTCGCCCATCGGTCTCTTCTGCCTGTGGCCATACAACAGGCCCAGGCCTGTTCCATCCCGAGGGAGGTGGATCCTGACTGGAGCTGGTAGAGACTTATGGCCACACCCTGCCAAGGTGTGCCCGCTGGGACCTGGACCCAGCCCGTCACAGCCCCTCTCCCTGTGCCATCCGCCAGCCCAGGCTTGACTGATCTCCGTATGAATATTCATACAGCGTTCTGCCGGGACCATCGTTAATATTCTGAGAAAGCGGCACGAATGCCCGTCCCTATATTGTGAGCCATGGTCACCGTGCTGCTGATACGATGGTGGCTGTGGATGTTTCGGATGCAACTGTCAGGCCTCCAGGCTTGGGAGGGTGGGGGCAGTACCGCCATCTCCAGGCCCCACCAGCACCCGTCCTCTGACCACAGACCTCCCAGCCACCCCACCTGCCCCTGGCCTTCACCTACCACCGTGTCCTTACCTGACCCAACCTCGACCAACGGCACCTTCCTCACCCCCTTCTTCCTCACCTATCCTGCCCCTGCTTCTCCTGCTCTGCTCTGACCCCTCTTCCCTCCCCGCCCTGCATTTACCTCACACCCACAGCCCTCACAGGATGGGGACACCAAGGTCCTCGCATAAACCAAGCCGCTTTACAGAGCCCACTTCCCAAACAGAGCTGGCACCCTCCTCCCCTGGGCCCTGGGGCTGGGTCAGCGCCCACCGGCTCCCCAGGCCTGCCCCATGCCCTCAGCTAGAGGCAAACCCAAGCTCATGGGCGCGGCAAAGCCGGCAGGAGGGGCCCTGGGGGCTGTGGCTCACTCCTGCACGGCCCTCCTGCTGCCCTGAGAACCCCTTGGCCCTGGCTGTTCCCATTGGTCGGGTGGGGCTCTGTGGGGCCCCGCCCCACCCGCCCCTTCCAGTCTCCGCCCAGGTCAGGACGGCAGGTGGCCCCAGCAGGGCTGGCCTGAGATGGAGGAACGCGGCCCCGACCTGGGCTATGGGGAGACTCTGGATGTGGCGGTGGATCCGCTGATGGGGCTTCGGATGTGATTATGTCCTGGGGACTGATGGTAGCCTGAGAGCACCGAGACCCAGCTCTGCCTTCCGCCTCCCACGGGGCCCCTCCTCTGCAGGAGGCCGTACGCAGACTACAGGGGAGGGGAAGCGGCCCCGCAGGGAGGGGGCGCCTGGCAGCGCGCCCGTCGCAGCAGCCTGCCACCCCGCCCCCAGGCACAGTGCGGGCCACACACCTCGCGCCACAGCAGCCCTGCCAGAGCCCGTGTGACACAGCTGCCGGCATGCCCGGGCACGCTGCCCAGCTGGGCTGGGGGAGGGGCGCCGGGCCAGGAGCCGCTGAATCAGCTGCACCCGGACAGCCCCGCCTGGGCAAGGATGCTGGTGCGGCGGGGCGCGCTCTCTTTTGGGAACTGTCGGGAGGCGCGCCAGGCGGTGGGGTGGGGGGGTTTCTGGACTGCGGCCTCTGCAGCCTGCTGCATGGGAAGTGCTGCTCACCAGGGCTGGGTGCAGGGCAGCCCCTGCCTCCGAGGGCATGAGAGGAGGCCTGCAGGGAGGGCCTGGGCAGAGAGGGGACCTTTCCTAAGGAGACCCATAAAGAAGAAGAGAAACGCACTGGCTTCTGCAGATCGAAGCACGTTTGTCTCCCCCAGAAAACGCTGAATCAGCACTCACAGCACTGCCAGGGCCCGCGCCCTCCTCTGATCGCACGCTGGAGGGGACAGGCCCTTCCAAGGTCACAGAGCATCAATATCACCATCGACGCAGCGGCACCGGGGTCGTGCTCTGGTCCAGAGTGGGGGCCGCGCCTGGCCCTGCCATCCTTCCTGCTGGGGGCTGTGTGTGGAACCCGGCACCTTCCCCCTCAGCCCCTGCTGTCTTGTCCTGCCCCCGGGGGAGGGGCGGCAGGTGGAGGACATTCCTGTGTTGGTGCGTTTGGGGTGGTTTTGCCCATGGAGGCTGCACACAGGGACTCTGCCGGGGCAGCCTTCCGAGGCCACCTGGTCCCCCCTGCGCTGGGGACGGGACAGCACATGGCCCATCTTGACTGAGCATCTTAGACCTTGAAATCCCCAGCACCACCCCCTTCCAGCCATTGCCTGCCCTCTGCTGGCTCCTCGGCTCGGATTCCGCTTTTCAGCAACAGAGACCCCCGGGCTGGTGCCCAAGCTGGTGTCCCCATGTGGTGGACGACAGGGAAACGGCGGCTCTGGGAGCCACTCGGCACAATCCCCCGGGGCCAGCATCAGACCCCACTAAGTCAACAGCCCTGGCTGGCTTTGGTGGCTTCCTCCACACTCCGTGCCCGGCTGTGACTTCCTGGCTCAGCACTCTATTCAGCCTGAGACTGAGCCGCTCCCCACCTCCAGATCTCCCTCCCACCTGTCTCCACCCAGGGGCCGCCCTCCCCAGAGCCCCTCTGACTCCTCCCTCCCCGGCCCACCCAGCTCCCCCTCAGCTTCGCCCCTGCCTTGGGCTGGAGACCTTCTCTGTGGTCCAGGCTCAGGGATTGGTCCAGGCTCGCCCACCCTCCCCTATCCTCCAGGCTGAACACTGAGCTCTGGTGCCAGGCTCCTCACTCCCAAACCCATGACTCTCAAACCCACTGCTGTCACTGGGGGCCTCTCATCCAGCCAGTGCCGGGCAGCTCTGATTTCAGAACCTTCCCAGTACGTTCCTGACCTCCAGGCCAGTCTGCAGCTACCTCCACTTCCCCTCGTCCCCAGGAGCAGCCAGCGGCCCTCCCTGCCCACACCTGTCCTTCCCGGCTCACCCAGGTCCAGCCGCCGCCCGAGTCCCTGGGGCCACTTGCCTCCCTCACAGGCAACCCGGGCCACTGGCAGCAGGAGGGGAGCCGCTGTATGGACCAGCTGCCTTGAAAGGATGGATCCTGTCTCCTAACCAGCTCCCAGCTCCCTCCAAAGCGGCTGCACACTGCCTGAGACCTCTGCAGGAGGCCACAGCGGCCATGTGCTTAGGTTCTGTCTCAACACCTTCCCAGTCCTCGACTCCTCACCACTGCTGGAAGCCCCTGGAAGCCTCCAGGCATGTAGGTTTCAGACAGGTGGAGCCCACCACCAGCAAATCAGGCTGCTCTAAATGTGACGTTTCCGTGGAATGCCCTGATCCCCCGGCAGAGATCCTGGCATGTCTCCCCACCCAGCAGAAACACAGCTGCTGCTGGGAGGGCTCAGGCTGCCCAGGACGGACAGTCCCAGACATACAGCACCATCGGCGGTCCCTGGAGATCCCTCTCTGGGTGGCACCCTTACCAGTCACTGCAGCATGGTCTGGTCTGGGTGTCTGTCACTGTGGACAAAGGGCCTGGGGACAACCTCCAGGTAGCTCTGGCCTTCCTTGGAGCCGTGGCCGCTGCACAGCTCAGCTGGTCATCTGGGACCTCAAGGGGAGAACAACTTCGAAAACAGAATCTGTCAAACAGGGGAAACGCCTGGTTAACACAGCCCAAGTTTGGCAGGTCTGCTGGGGAGCGGTCGCAAGCAGCTTCACCACCCCTCAGATCCCCCACAGGGCTCTTCAGCCACCCAGGGGAGCCGGGTTAGAGGGGCTCCCGCAAGGCACACATCATGGCCATGGGGAAGCTTCTTGGCTCTTGGAGCCTGTGACATGCCCCTGGCCAGGGAACGGCCTGAGCCTAGGAGGTTGAGGCTACAGTGAGCTGTGATCGTGGCCACTACAGCCTTGGCAGCAGAGCGACACCCCATCTCTTAAAAAAAAAAAAAAAGGAAAACTTTAAAAAATGCCCTTATTATAATCCAGCCACAAGTGGCTCCTTCTGTGGGAACTGCTTCCTTGGGTCTGATGAGACATTCAGTGGTCAAGGTGGCGCCTGTCCCTGTACTCAGTGGTCCTGTGGGCTGGTGGCTCCTGTACACAGCAGTGTGGATGAGGCGTTCCCACTGTCGCGGGGAGTTCTATCAGATCGAGATGGCCTAGGCAGGGAACAACGGAAAACATGCCAAATCCACTGAAAACCAGAGTGAAGCCAGGCGGGGAAGGCCAGGGAAGCCCCCAGGGAAGGCAGGAGCCCTCCTGCAGCCTCTCTGGTGTGGGGCGTGGCCAAGTGTGACCAGTCAAGGGCATAGCCACCTTCACCCACACCTGGCAAAGCAAAAAGACCAGGCCACTCTCCCAGGCCAAGCCTCACAGGGCCCGTTGGCTAACTGCCCCAGCTTTGTGTGCACAGGTAAGGCTGTGTATCCAGGCCCTGCGCCCACCTCAGGACTCGGCTGCGGCCTGGCATCCCCTGTGGGACACACAGAGCCCCCAGACCTTGGGATCAGAAGCCCGGTCTGGGAAGCAGTGCTCCACACCAAGCTTCAGCCCTGGGTTTGGTAAAACAAGTGTCACCCTCCTAAGCTTTTCAGGGGTACACATTTTAGTGATGATTTCACGAACTCTGCCGTCAAAAACAAAACCCCAAAAGTTTGGTGAAACGGTTCCACAAAACTCTACAATGGATAGCTTGTTACCTAACGGAATCCAGAGTTTTCCTTTATTTTCTTGAGATGGGGTCTTGCTCTGTCACTCAGGCTGGAGAGCAGTGACAGAATCATGGTTCACTGTAGCCTCAACCCCTCCCGGCCTGGGATCAAACAATCCTCCCTGTTCAGCCTCCGGAGTAGCTGGAACTAGAGGTGAGCGCCACTACACCTGACTCATTTAAAAATCTTTTTTGTAGAGATAGCGTCTCCCTGTTGCCCAGGCTGATCTGGAACTCCTGGGCTCAAGCGATCCTCCCACCTGGGCCTCCCAAAGTGTTGGAATTACAAGTGTGAGCCACTGCACCCAGCTGGTTTCCCTTTAAGTGATACTTTCTGGCCATAATAACTGCCTGGGAGGAAATCGTTGTCATCTTCATGTTGTTAGAAGCCTTTGCAAGTGAAAAAAGGAGAAATGTGAACTTCCTCCCTTCACACAAGCTAAGGAAGCCTTTACAAAGCAAAGATTCTAGAATAATATGAATAGCTTGTCTCTCAATCTTCAAACTGGTTTGTGTTTTAGAGACAGTCTCACTCTGTCACCCAGGCTGGAGTGCAGTGCTGCAATCACAGCTACTGCAGCCTCGATGTCCTAGGCGCACACCACCACGGCCAGCTCACTTTTAAATTTTCTGTAGAGATGGGGTCTCACTCTGTTGCCCAGGCTGGTCTTGAACTCCTGGGCTCAAGTGATCCTCCTGCCTTAGCTTCCCAAAGTGCTGGGATTACTGGCGTGAGCCACTGCACCTGGCCTCGCACGGTTTTTTTGAATAAATAAGAACTTTGGTTTTATTTTTCTTCCAACCTTTTTTTATGTGTGTGCATCTCCCCCTGCGGTGGATCGCGCTGTGCTTGCTCACAGCCCTGAGGCCTCTCTCATTTCAGCAGCGTCGGAAACACCACCCCAGCTTTATTCTAAGACTCTGAACTAGGCCAGGTGGAGGGGCTCACGCCTGGAATCCTGGCACTTTGGGAGGCCGAGGCAGGTGAATCACCTAAAGTCAGGAGTTTGAGACCAGCCCGTTCAACATGGTGAAACTCCATCTCTACTAAAAACAAAAATTAGCTGGGTGAGGTTGCGGGTGCCTGTAATCCCAGCTACTTGGGAGGCTGAGGCATGAGAATCACCTGAACCCGGGAGGTGGAGGTTGCAGTGAGTCAAGATCGCATCAACACACTCCAGCCCAGGCTACAAGAACAAAACTCTGTCTAAAAAAAAACCAAAGAAACCCTGAATGGGCCAGTCAGCTGAATGCAACCTCCACCGGCCTGC